TGACTTTCTTTGAGCACAGAAGATGTTTTGAAGAATGTTGATAACCAGGCAAGTTCGATGCCCATTGACTTCCATTGTATGGATAAAACAATCCTACAGGTTTAGAAACACATGAATGTGGGTATTACATTTGCTACTGGGAGGGAGCACGGAGCGAGGAACGAGAAGACCAGGAGATTCAGGAGATCAGGCATTGATACATCAACAAGGAGATTTTAATAATATAATCCAACACAAGGGAACCAGGAAAACGCACGTAGCTGATGAGGTTGTCATAAACAATATCGGACACCGAATGGACGTAGGAGACAGGCTTATAAAGGAGCACAAATGATAAGACTAAAGGAACATGGCTTGAGACAAATCAACATAATCAGAACAGGAACAGGAAGAACCAAATAAGGGCAAAAGGAAACACATGGGAAAACCAGGACATGGAACACGAGGGGAGCAAAACACGGAACAGAGTCTGACATTACTCCCCCCTCCTGGAAGGCGCGTCCCACGCCGTAACAATTCCACCAGGGGGTAAGTTTCCTAAAAAAGCTATATTTTGAACAAAAAGCTGAGATACGAATTGGATTCAGAATGATGATCAAAACATAGATTGATTAGATCATGTTCATCAACACCCCGAAGCTTGCATAGTCCTAAACCTCTTTGTGTGTTTGACATTTTGTTCAGTAGCTTTAGGCAGTTTTAATTTATATGCTGTTGAACGTTTGATGATCACATTAGCTTACATGCACATAAGCAATGCTTCTATCGCTGGTTTCTGCTTCTTCTTTGGCTGTTTTTGGAACTTTGCTTATTTTTGGATCCAGAGATTCTGTATTATTTCAGAAGATGCGTAATAGCACCACCTAATGAATAACAGTGAAAACATGGATTTCCGGAAAATTCTGTCAGTGCCAGGGAAGCGTTGTGTCATACATGATGGAACATTTTGTCAATGGCGGGGAGAGAGTTAAAATCTGCCACGTGACATGCAATACAGAATGAACTGTTAAATAATGTTAGTTAAAGGGGTCATATGATGCTATTTTAAAGATCATTATTTTGTGTATTTGGTGTAACAGAATATGTTGACAAGCTTTAATGTTCAAAAAACACATTATTTTTCAAATACTGTACATTATAGCAGGTCCTCTATGCCCCGCCTCTCTCAAACACGTCGTTTTCAACAAAGCCGCCTCCTTTGACAAGCGCAGTCTGATCTGATTGGCCAGCTGACCCAGTGCATTGTGATTGGCCGAACACCACAAGCACGCGTCAGAAATGTAACGCCCCTTACCATAATCGCTTCAGCTTTCAAAGTAAATATCAAGACAGTTAATAATGTCGTTAGTTTTACCATCAGTTCAAGCTCAAAAGGGCAACAAAGTCGTGTGACAGACACAGTGATGATGCAGATTGTCATAGCAAAGTCGGAATTGACCCTTTTTTTTTTTTTAGAAATAGACTTTGTGCACAGCCAGCCTTGTACTCTTCTAGGTTCAAAAAATTGTCGTCCATAAAATGCGTTGCACAAATTCAAACATCTGGACTGTGCTGTTCTGTTGTAAATAAATCTTAACCAATGATTCCTATTTGCATCTACTTCCGGAAGGCCAAATAATGGGATTTTGCTTTTGCACTGAAACATACACCGTCTCCCTGTCATGGCTGCATCAACACTACTGCTGTTCCTGAAACCACGCCTTCTTTCTTTGCGTGCACATTTGGGCTGCATTATGCTAATATTTCCACATAGTGATGTAGATATGTGGGGGCATATTAGGTAGGCGTAGTTGACCCTTAATTTTTATAAAGAATATCTCTTTGGATTTGAGACTTTAGTCTTTGCAACTTTACAGACCTTCTTTATGCACCAAGAGCTTGTAACACTCCAAAGAGAAAGGAAAACTTGAAATCGCATCATATGACCCCTTTAAGTTGGCCTTTGGATGAGCTCGTCAGCACATACCTTTTTTACTCATGGTTACAGGCGATCATTTTATCAGAGCGAATGTAATCAACAATGTCTGATCTCACCCCCTCAAAAATAGAAATTATATGAATATCCATAAGTTTTGTCTTTTGAGCAAGTCTTCAACTGTTATTATGGCTTATCGGAAATAAATGTTTTAAAATTAACAATGTTACAAAAGTTGCTGCTTTTGTTAACAAAAGTTACAAATGCTGACATTTGACATAACAGTTGCTAGATATTTTATTTGTCAAACACAAAAAAAGTCTATCTCTGGTTGGTTTAAAATCCTTTAAATCTCTTGAGTTGTCACCATCTCTGAAATGCCAGTCCGATGTTTTATTACAAGCTCTCTGTCACTTCCCTTTTTGCTTGTAAGATCTTTTCTGAACAAGGTTTCTTTGTTGAAACAACAGATGATTCCTCCGATGGTTGTCTTCTTGAACAATTCATTGTGTTGATGTTGCTCATCAGTTACGGCTACAAGCTGTCAGAAATATTAACACACCTCTGATCGCTCCATGCATGCGCTCTGATAGCTGGACCCTCTTCTCTTTGTTTATAGATGTTGACATTACGACACAAATACGAATGACATAAGACTGACATTTCCTGCAAAAATCTGACCCAACAGCTCAAATTATAAATAATTATTATAAACTTACCTTTTTGAATTTGAAGGCAAGGAGACAATTTTGAACACTTTTTTTATGTACTTGTTTCATAATTGATTCTTGTTCACCAAGATCTGTGGCACAATGATACAAAATGACTAGTTAACAATAACAAATAAGTATCAAAATGTTACCTCAAATGATTTATTATTTATGTAGAATTGTGATGGTGTTAACATGGATATGATTTGAAAATACAGTACTAAAATATATTTACGTTGTAAATATGTCTTATAACACAGTTATGTTGTAACAACTCTGGAATTTTCTCCTCTGAAATATTGATTTTCACTAATGATGCGTATCTTCATCTCACCCCCCAACTGTGTCAGCCGGTGCTTCTCCCTATGTGTCTACGTGTTTCTACTTAGTGGCACTTCTCATTAATCCCGGGCCTAATGCAGCACCAAGATCCCTATAACATGATAAGACACTGAGCCTAGATAGATTAGGGTCCACTCCCCGCTCCCAGAGCTCATTCGATACCAAGCAGCCCCCATGCTCACAGAGGGAGAGAGTCAAGACAGAGAACCTGTAGAGTTGTTAAAGGCCGACTTTGATTATAAATGGCACTCTGTGGACAGAGGATGGCCCCCGGATAAGGTGATAAAGCGAGGGTGTAACTTTAGATAATGTATCTGAGTATGTGGACTTCCCTACCCACACTATCTTTCTGCAAATTATTTTCCATTATACTGCTATCGATCGGTTAGAGGTAATGGCCATTGGAAACATAACCTGAGGCATAACTACATTCCAGTGCAGGAAATGTTGATTGGAGGAAAGGAACAGAAGCGCTGAGGAAACATTTTCTGGGTTTCAGCATTGAAAAGGCTTTGTATTTTTGTTTCACCAGGGACTGTTTAAAGAACAGTTTTACTCTCTCTCTCGCTCTCTCTCTACAATTGTAGCATAACTATGGTGGCTTGGGGTGAGACATATCGAAGAACTTGGCCAGTGACATTCAGTTTGTCCTAATCTCAGAGTTCAGGGTGGGTCTGTTTTGAAAGGTGTATATGTTAATGTTAAAAACTGTTTATTTCTGGAAAATGTATAGGATTGTTTACTTCTGGAAACCTACTGCTATATTGGCACATCTCTGCAACACAGATGATTAGGAAGCGTGGAATAATTGGGGTTGATGGTAGACCGGTGCTGATCCAGGCCAGATTATAGGTAGAGAAAAGAAATGTGATAATGTTAGTAACTCTTTCCAGAGTTCATCACGCTCTGTCTCTCTCTCTCTGCAGTCGCTGCAGTTACTATAAAGGGCACCTGTGTTGATTTACTGTCAAATCTTCCAGGATTATCTGTAATCCTGGAGCTTCAAAATCTGTTTGCTGACAGCTGTGTTCTCTAACAGAACTGCTGTTTGCTGTGCACATAGTGTCCTATATAGCAGCAAAAGCTCTTTTTTTGAGGAAAAGAAGGAAAAAGCCTTTTAATTTTCTGCTTGAGTGAATTTCAATTTACAGTTCTTCTCGGTTTGTATTGTGTTGTATTTGGCTATAATGCATAGCTGACTCTATATATATGAGTCTTTGCCTTGGTAAATGGGCACAATATCACAACACATCCTTTGAATATCTTCTAATGTATTCTAGTGTATCGCGGATTTTGCTTTTCAATAGCTGTGTTATTTTCACCAATAGGTCCAGGGCATATACTGTAATTTATAAAAATGACTTAGACAATGTTCCAATTGTTTTTTTTTCTTTCAGAAGTAATGCTTGTATTTTTCCCCTTATGAATTTTACACACAAATGTACATTATTACAAATTATTACAAATTACATGCATTGCCATTTATTATGATTCTGATTATTATTATTATTATTTGAAAACTGAACAAAAGAAGACAGGAAACTAGTGAAAACAAACTAAAAGTCCATGATAATGAAACTAACTAAACAGAACCATGACATTATTATTATCATATATAATTAGTATTATTTATTTGTTTGGTTGTTTAAAATACTATTAATTTATATTTTGTTATGCCTTGATAAGTATATTACATACAGGGACCACACAGTTGTCAATATTTGTATATTAAGGATACTTAAAATGCCTACAATTAATTGTATCACAAACAACATATCAAAACATCTGTGAGAAAAAAAAAACTATCTTTTCTGTAGTGAACAAATTTATCTGAGCCATTTTTCCAATGACTTCTAACCAGATGGATTTAATGAATTAAGTAACTACCCCTTGATTTAGCATAACCACAGGTGTAGTTTTTACTTTAGTATAGTCAAAATAAAAAAATTTAGAAAAATGGCAAAGGGTGCTCTAATTTTTAGGTTGTCCTATACTCATTAGCAATTGCCCATGATGTGTTTCTCCAATTCTAGGTGGTCTACAAAAACAACGACATACGACTGGAACTCTCTCGCCTGGCCCGCATCGCAGACCCCAAAATGAAGCTACAAGGGGACGTGGTGTTTAAATGTGAGAATGTCCCCACCCTAGACCCTATCTCTTTTGAGACACCAGAATCCTTCCTCAGCCTGCCCAAGTGGAACACCAAGCGTGTGGGCTCCATTTCCTTTGACTTTCGCACCTCAGAGCCCAATGGACTAATCCTTTTTACGCAAGGTAAGCCCCAGGACAAGAAAGATGCTCGTAGCCAGAGGAGCAACAAAGTGGACTTCTTCGCTGTGGAACTTCTAGATGGAAATCTCTATCTTCTGCTGGACATGGGATCAGGAACTATTAAAGTCAAAGCCACACAGAGTAAGGTTAATGATGGAGCATGGCACCATGTGGACATCCAGAGAGATGGAAGATCAGGTGAGCAGATTCATTTTCTCCAGAACATCAGGGATCTTAAAAGTAAAGTGTTGTTTTGCACCAAACTTAGCAAAGAATTTGAATCCTTCAGATCTGCATGACGCTCAATGAGTTTGTTTGATAAAATATTGTTTAAATGAATCATTTTTCCAAAGCACTAAAGTACTTGAGGATGTGAAATGTTGTGATTTTTTTTTTTGTGTGTGTCATGCCTAACGACACCCTTTAGACAACTATATTCACAATATTTTTTGCTTAACTGTGGAGCTTAAAAAGTTTCCATTTTGGCATCAGACTGTCAAATTTGTAAGTTTTGGAGTAACTTCTGCAAAGTTTTAAAAAGACATCTAAATTGCCAACAAATTGTCTGTAAAAAGAAGTCAATAATGTAGCACTTTCATCTGCGAAAATAATCTATTCTCAATTGTAACTTAATGACATAATTCCTTTCTAAACTTCTCTGTATTAAGCACTCATATTAGGCTTGATTCTAAATCATTTTCACAGCAGACAACAAAGTGAACAAAGTGACTTCAATAAAAAGTCATCTAGCATAATAAATGTATGGATTTTTTTTTTCTTAAGCACAGGATAAATGTTCTGTGGAAGACTACAATGCAGATTTAGAGCTTTCATCATCGTGTTGTCACAAACTTCACATCTGAGAATGGACACTTCTCCATATTAAAGTCACAAGAGGGTGGCTCTTATTTTATGCCTCTGGTCATGCTATACAGAGCAGTCCAAAAGTCTGAGACAGTGCTTAAAATCTGACATTTCTTTCATTTAAATGAACAGAAAGCTTTTGGTTTATGAACATTTTTGAACAAATATATACATACATGGTTAATGGTCGCATTGGCATGCTGGTAAAAAAATCAAATATTTCAAATGTAAACATTTAGATGAGTTATTTCATAAGTAATCTAAAAGTAATCCAAAAGTAGTCAGAATATATTACGTTAAAAGAGTCATCTAAATTACATTACTGACTACAGTTTTCATCATGTGATAATTTGTAATCAATAACAGACTACAATTTGTAAGACATTTTCCAGCACTATATATGTAAGGGCAACTTTTTATATTTAACTTATAATTTAAATTTTATTTAAAATTAAATCAACATCAACCAAAGCCATCTGTACATTTCAAAGCTGGACATGACATTTATGTTTATTTACACAGGCTGTTCATAATAATGTAAATAATAAAAAAATGTTTGATGCTGAAATAATGCTTGCTTTTCACATTTCATTTTAATCACAACAGTCAGAATAGTTTTGGTGAATGGGTTGTTTTATCTGTTCATGGATGGTGATTAACTCCTTGTCTGATTAATAGCCATCATACAACTTGTATGTTGTCAGCAAAAACAGGCAGAGACAAATATATAGACATGTGGGTGTTGAGAGACCAAGAATACTTGCATAATAAAGACCAGTAGAGGAACTCAGAATGCCTCCTCAATCTGCCAGTGCCTCCACACTGAACTATTGATGTTTCTATTCTGAAACTCCTGCCTGCCTGTATCCTTTAGCACATCATTGTGTCAGAGCACTTTAACACAAACACACACACACACACACACACACACACACACGTCTGGTTTACTATCCTTGTGGAGACTCCCCATAGGCGTATTGGTTTTTAAACTGTACAAACTATATATTCTATCGCCCTACACTAACCATATATATAATCCTACCCCTCACAAAAAAAAACTTTCTGCATTTTTACATTCTCAAAAAAAACTAACAAAACAAACATTCTGTATGATTTATAAGCTTGTTTCCCCATTGTTTCCCCACAGTGACACAAGTCCCCATGAGTCTGTCTATTCAGTCTGTATATTCAGGTTTAAGTCCCCACCGGAATAGAAAAACATGTAAACACAAATGTGCATGTCTGTATATTTCTATATTTATTACACTGTTTTACCTTGATTCTCATTGGTTAGCAGCATTCTGTGGTCAAATATATATATTTTTTATAATGGCTACTTTTATAATGACTGAGTACTTATTTCTGTGTGTATTTTTTCAGCATGTCATTATTATCTTATTTTGGGTGAGCTTATCTTGTCCTTCTTGACGGCCTGTTGTTGTTTTGAACAGGTATCATCTCTGTGAATAGCCGTCGGACTCCATTCACTGCCAGTGGAGAGAATGAGATTCTAGACCTGGAGGGTGACCTATATCTCGGAGGTCTCCCAGACAACCGTGTCGGCCTGGTCCTTCCCACCGAACTGTGGACCGCTATGTTGAACTATGGCTATGTGGGCTGCATCCGTGATCTTTTCATAGACGGTCGCAGTAAAGACATTCGCCAGATCGCAGAGGCACAGAATGGAGTTGGAATCAAGTCATCCTGCAGCAAAGTAACAGGCAAACAGTGTGACAGCAACCCCTGCAAAAACAACGGCGTTTGCAAAGAGGGCTGGAATCGCTTCATCTGTGACTGTACCGGTACCGGATACTGGGATCGAACCTGTGAGAGAGGTGAGTGATGCTGCTGTTAGTGTTGCGTAACCTGACTTTCTGCCTGTTTTTTTTTTTTTTTGTCTGTGGATGGACCGTGATTTAATATAAGGTGATTTAATAATAAAATATCTGAACTTACACCAATATGATTCCTCTGCGAATGCCATCTTCTCACAAGATGCAGGAATCCATTCAACGCAATCCTCACAGTGCATTATAGGTATTCTCTAGCCATGTACACCAGTTGTACAGTAATTATTGCAGTGCATAATGGGATTGAATGGATAATATCCATTATGGCAGTGGTTCTCAACCCTGGTCCTGGAGGCACCCCAGCACTGCACGTTTTGCATGTATCCTTAATCAAACACACCTGATTCAGGTCATAAGCTCATTAGTAGAGACTCCAAGACCTGAAATTGGTGTGTCAGAGAAAAGAGACATGCAAAATGAGCAGTGTTGGGGTGCCTCATGGACCAGGGTTGGGAACCACTGCATTATGGTTTCAGCCACCCCCAAAACGGCTGTCCCCTGAAATAATACACTATATAAGGGCATTGGGTGCAATTTCAGACAAAGACTGATTAATGACTTAACTTTTGGTGGTTTTGTTTGAACGTGTACACATTATTTATATGATATTTAGAATAAAAACGGCTCTGTATGCAGTGACCCAAAAACTTTTTCATGCAGGCCACACTTAAAAATGTATGAATGTCTTTGTATTACATTGCAAAATATACAACTGTGTATTTATTTGAAATAGCACAAGAACACTTTTCAAGCAATATTTATTGTCAACAAATTGGTGAATTTGTCAATTCTGTTACAGACAAACTGTATGTCACATATTTATATAGGGCTTCATACAATACAGATTATTTCAAAGCTGCTTCACATTAATAAAACAGGGAAATAACAGTGTTAATGTGGTAAAATTAATAAATTATAATGCCACTACTAGAGGACTTCAAGTAACACAAGTATTTAATAGTCTATTAATGTATTATGCATGTGTACAGTGATTAAAGTGGTCATGAACTGCATTTTTTGCATTTGATAATGTTTCCTGAAGTGCACTTACAATGTTGGTATGGTTTTTACATAAAAAATTGTCATAATTTAGAAATAAAAGGACATTTTCTACCCTGATTTTAGCCCACTGATTTGAACACTCGTTTTGAAGGGGCATGTCTGCTGTGAGACTTCAGTGGAATTGCTATGATTGGCAAACCTCTTTGCATATGAAATAAGCATTACATGTGGAGCTCTCTCAAAAACATTTACTACGTTTTTACTCTTACAGCTGTTGAGATTAACTAGTCATGGAAAGTTTTGATTATATTTAGATCTACTCCCGTTGCATGAAAGGTTGCAACGATGAGCATTGTAGCCGATGACAGACTGTTATGCGCAATGCAGTTATCTCGTCATTGCAACTCGAGTGTTGCACTTTCACAAATGCTTTCATCATAACTAACTGTGCAAACACGATGTAAATAAGAGACTCATTGTGCCGTGTAGACTGTGTCATTGAATATAAACTCGTGCTGTGTGAATGACAGCTCCAGTGATTATAAAGGGACCGTTCTTTGATCGCTTTCTGTATATAATTTAATCACAATTTAAAAAACTGATTATTTTCAGGCTACTAAGAGAAACAATGTGTAGTTGACCGTTAAATTACTGGTTTGATTTATTGATGTTTAAACAGCAATAAATGATTTTGAGTCAAAGAACATCTGACTGTACACGAATAATTACATATCAGAAATCACTGATCGCAGATTAGGCATTAGAATTAACACAGTTACTTACATGTTGTGGTATTACTGTCAGGTCCATATCTTACAGTAAAAGTCTGTTTGCAAAGCCTGCGCCAAAACTGCGACTGATTTACCAAAGAATAAACAGTGAAATGTGCAGAGCAAACAAATAATGCTCTGCTCTGTATCCTAGGATTATCCTGTATTGCTCTTCTCTCCTTCTCATCTCACTATGTTTAATGTACCAGTGGGCAGGGCCAAAGATGCAATGATTCTGCAGAGAAGGACTTTCATCGCACATTATGTGACAAAATCTGAAACGAGTCGTTTCCTGATCTTGGTTTTAATAAAAGATGTTTTTGGACTAGCAAGGAAGTTTTGAGCTGTGAAACTTACAGGATGTTTTTATAGTACAATGACCTCTTGCATGTCAAAACATCAAGGGCAATTTGATTTCTCAGTTCATGACCCCTGTAATTGGATTTTAAGAATCATATGTTTTGGATATGTTTTGCAGATCCATATGAAATTCTTAGCAAAGTCACTAATGACAAGTGTTAGTTTTTTTATAATTTTTTTTATCATCAACTCATCAACTATATAAAATATACCCTGAGAGTATATCAAAAGCACTATTTTGAATCACAATTCCAATTGCAGGCTTTGACCGACCAACCAGAAGTTATTTTTTTGTCAGGTTAACCTCAAATTTGCATATATATTTGAATTGAAATCATACATTTTTTTTATAATGATTACAAAAATAAAATAAAAAATTCAAAATAAATTCAAAACATATCATTGTATCAAACTAAGCTGATGATCAATTGAATTTATACTTCTTCACAATAGGTTATTGTTGATCAAATTTTGAAAAATAATAAAATTAAAAATAAAAATAAAAAAACCAATTGAGTACTTTTACAATAATGTGTTTAATATCCACTTATAAAATAATATTGAACTAAAAGATTATAGTAACATCATGTTGTGATAAACCATTTTTAGTTGCAGTGGGTTGATTGGTTAGTAACATAGTTGACAGAACATAAGAAAAATACATTCATACATTTACTAAACAACTAAAACAATTATGTATATAATGCACATATATATATACATATATATATATATATATATACTTTTGTTTTTGTATATTTTTGTATAATGCTGTGAAATTCATACATTTTTGTGTGAGGCACTGCATGTTATTTGGACTGCAGCCCAACATTTTTATATATATTATGTTTTAATAAATCCTGTCAGACACCCCCAAACCCTTGTAATTCGCACCTCATTTCTCCAACACAACAAGCTTTTAGATTTTATATCAGTAATGACAGCCTAGAGAATCCTTGAGCCTTCGGATGTACAGACATTGAGTGGACATCAGTTTCTGCTTTACAGCTGAGAAGGAGATTTTATAGTTTTTGTGTAACATTTCTCAGGAGGTTTAATAGGATTTCTCTTTCACTTCTAGTGACCGTCTGTCTGCGCTGTTCGCTCAGGAGGATCCAAAAGTTAAATTGAACAAGGCTTGGGGCAAGAAAATGTTCCCATGGTGTTCAGAATTAGGAGCAAGCTCACATTAAGTTTTTATGACAGTTTTAGATAGCTGCTCCTCAGGCTATTGGGGGATGCAATCTTCACACAGCATGGGCGGATTGCCTTTTTTATTATTATTCTACAATGATTTTTTTCAAGGTTTAGCAGATGGTTCAGGCTCCGTTGTGGAAACCACAGACTTGTAAATAATTCTGAACTTGAGAAAACAATTTTTAAAATCCAGGCAAAATAGTTATGTATGTAAAATGTTAGCATCTGTAGTGTTTTATTTTTATTTATTTATTTATCTATTTTTATTTTTATTTTATTATTATTTTATTTATTTATGTATTAAATTTTTTTGGCATGGGCACTTTTGGTTCTGTGGATGTTTAGAAAATAAACACATCGATTTTCACACCCACACTAGTTTAATTTACCCACTAACAATGAGCAACAGTGGACATACATCACAGAAGAATTCTTTAAATGTCATTATTCTGAACCACCATGTGCACCACATCTTAAATTATGTATTATGTTTATTATGTTTTGATACAATTCTGTGGTTTTGGAATAAAATATCTGTCTTTTTCTTAACTTATTCTTGCTAATTCTAATTTCATAGCTAGAATTGTATTTATCCTAAATACACAAAACTCAATATTACTCCTCCTCCTCCTACTCTTTAAATCTCTAAGTTTAATAATAATAAATTTTTTAATTTGGCAAAACTATAGTTCTGTCAGGACCACTATCGTCAGAGATGATTGACAATTAGCATACAGTTTGGATTGGCGGTATGGTTCTGTTCTGGGCAAGAACTCCCTGCGCATCCATGCAGCCTAGCATGGATGAGAGCAGGGAGAGCAGCGATAACCCCCCAGGGTAAACAGAACAGAACCAACATACATGTATTGCAGATATCGTTAAGTTCAATAATGTTATGTACACATTTTAGAATTAGTCTGATTCAAAGGAGAATCAGAAGGCTGAATCCTGACTGACAGAGGAGGAGTTGGGGATGGAGGAGGGTAATTAGCTATTGAGCAATGCGAAAACTGCTGATACTACTGCAGGACCTTATATATGAATACTTAGGTGTCGTATTCCCATAGGTTGATGGGGATTAACATTTCTCAGGAGGTTTAATAGGATTTCTCTTTCACTTCTAGTGACCGTCTGTCTGCGCTGTTCGCTCAGGAGGATCCAAAAGTTAAATTGAACAAGGCTTGGGGCAAGAAAATGTTCCCATGGTGTTCAGAATTAGGAGCAAGCTCACATTAAGTTTTTATGACAGTTTTAGATAGCTGCTCCTCAGGCTATTGGGGGATGCAATCTTCACACAGCATGGGCGGATTGCCTTTTTTATTATTATTCTACAATGATTTTTTTCAAGGTTTAGCAGATGGTTCAGGCTCCGTTGTGGAAACCACAGACTTGTAAATAATTCTGAACTTGAGAAAACAATTTTTAAAATCCAGGCAAAATAGTTATGTATGTAAAATGTTAGCATCTGTAGTGTTTTATTTTTATTTATTTATTTATCTATTTTTATTTTTATTTTATTATTATTTTATTTATTTATGTATTAAATTTTTTTGGCATGGGCACTTTTGGTTCTGTGGATGTTTAGAAAATAAACACATCGATTTTCACACCCACACTAGTTTAATTTACCCACTAACAATGAGCAACAGTGGACAT